ATGTTTTTATGATGATTTTGTTGTTGTTGTTGATGTTATTGATGTTGCTGATGCTGTTGTTGCGGCTGCTGCTGTTGTTGATGTTGTTGATGTTGTTGTTGTTGTTGGTGTTTTTGGTGTTGATAATCTTGATGTTGCTCTTGTTGATAATGTTATGACAAATGTTGACAACAATGTTGTGAAAAAAGATTCACGGCTTAGTTTAGATGATGAAGAATGATGCAGTTTCTCAAGTAAGAATCTTCATTTTTGTGGAAGATAATCTTTTTTGTTTGTTTTAAAAATGTTTGAGAATTATGTCAGCGTTGTTTGCGTCGCTGTTTAAGCTGTTGTTGCTCTTGTTGATGCATTTGTTAATGCTTTTAAATTCAAATATTTGTAGTTTGTTTTACTGACAGTTCTTTAATGTCATGTTCCTGATGTCATATTTAGTGCTACAATCTTACTGTCATGTCATGTTTTTATTATCATGTAGTCGCTTAATTCTTCCAAATGTTCTTAAGTGTTCATAAAAGTTCATTAACGTGTTTGTACTTCGATGGATGTTATGATTTTGTCACATTGTGATGTCTTGAGCTGTCAGTTGTCCACTGTGCTACACTGTGAACGGTCTCATGTTATGTTGTTGTAGTGTACGTCCGCAATCATCATGTTACCGTTTATAAATATTTCCAAGGACAGCCAGGACAATTGAAACGATTGATGCTAAAGATGGAACTGCAATGCAAACACAGAACCAGCCATCTAGCAGCACAACTTCACACATCCATCACAACACCATAGATCCACAACGACACCACAAACATTCATCTAAACATGTTAACAAGCAAGAATTTCAACTCAAAGTTACACGAATGATGTTTTTTCTGTGTTTCACCACACATTTCAGTGCACATCCAAATTTGCTGAGCAATTATGCAACACGATCTATCTTAAGAAGAACAAAAATCTAAAAGAAAATGACACGGTAAATAATTAATTGTAAAACAAGGAAAAAATTGGGAATAAAAAAAATGAAGCACTAAGTTTCACAAAATCTAAAAAACATGCGTTCAATAAAAACCACCACCCAACACCACCCACTACGTCACACCCCACCACACCACACCACACCACACACCACAAACCACCCCATAACGTTCAAACTTCCACAAACCACCGCACAACCCATCTTACGACACCCCATTTCATAACACTAAACATCACGTCAGCTCAGTTCAGTTCAACTTGCTAACTGACACGTTGTCTACATTCGAATGAAATAATAACTCAAAATGACAAAATAAACGCAACAACTACGAACACAAAAGTAAATAAGCAACCACAACCGCAACCACAACCGCAGCAACCACAGCAACCACAACCGCAGCCACAACCACTAGAGCAACATCAACAACAACATCAATAATATCAACAACAACAAAAGTAACATCAACGACAGAATCAACTACAGAAACAACAACTAGAGCAACATCAACTACGACATCAGCAACATCAACAACATCAATAACATCAACAACAACTAGAGCACGATCAACTACAGAAACAACAACAACATCAACTACAACAACATCAACATCAACTACCACATCAACTTCAGCTACAACAACAACGACCACAACTACAACAACACATGTGGCCTGGATGTTTGTAGAGAAAGGATTCCTTCCATAAGGACAACCGCATTATTCTTGCTAGCAGTCACTTGTGTTGTGGCAAGCAGGCAAACACTTCATAATGGCCGAAACATTGTTATGCAATCATATGCTAAATAAGTTCTTTCGTTCGTTTGTTTGAAGTAACATTATAGTGTAATTATTTTCTTGATAAACTGTTATTCATTTGAGATAACATTATAAGATGATTGTTTCCTCATAAGTTGATGGTTTGTCCGTTGAATGTATCAGCTTGAATACACTTCAACACATGCAAAATAAGTAGAGAAATAAAAACACAATTCAATCCGAGTTAACCAAATGCAGTACACATGAAGTGTGTACAAATAATTACAAATAGATATATAAACATAGGCACGGCATACATGAAGAGGAACACACAATATGCTGTTTTGTAATTATAAAAAATCTTTCAAAAGCAACTCAAGCAAGGAGGCCATTACACAAATGTTCCCTTGCATGCACCCACCACCGAGCAGACAGCCGCTGCACGTCACGCACACATCGTCTGTGTAGAACTGCTTCTTTGTAGGGTGACTTCCGGCAGCTAACAGCTGCTTATGAAGCTAGCAGCGCAGCAACACTAACGACATGCCAATTTTTAATTTGACATTCGTAGTCACGTGTAAGGATTCTTGTCAACATGTCTTCCACAAAATATGCTGTTTGATTGATTGATTGGTTGATTAGTTGATTGATTGATTGATTGATTGATTAATTGATTGATTGATTGATTGATTGATTGATTGATTGATTGATTGATTGATTGATTGGTTGGTTGGTTGGTTGGTTGGTTGGTTGATTGATTGAT